AGCGTGGGGCTCCCCGCCTAGGAAGTGAGCTCTTGCATGATCTCATGTACAAAATCTAACATTTCTGGACATAACTCCTGAATTTATTTACAATGGTTTAGGCTAGTATCACTCAGGGCAAAATGATAGCAGTGATTGCTACCACCTGTGCCTTAAGCTTTGGGAATGGTCACACCATTGTCTTTACTTGATCTAGCCATCATCACTTCACCTGCCATTTGGGGTCCATGTGGGTGTTTCTAGAGATCAGTATCTCTTCTCTGCAGTTAAACACTAAGATTTTCTAGTGTGACAAAGAAAATGTAGATGCTTTGCCAGCATAATAGCTACCCAGGATGGGTAGGGTGGCTGATGGTTCAAGGTGGGGAGGTGACTTAGGCACATGAGATGAAAAGCTGTGCTATGAAACATTTGGTTAACCATTAAGAAGTGGGATTAAAAAGTGGCAGATGAATGGATAAAATGACCTTGACTCCCTAGAATAATTCAATCTGGCCCCTCATGATCTATTTGGTTCTTCATAATCAACTGCCTTTGAACACAGAGGGCAGTTCTACCCTGCAGAAAGTGATGAGATCAACAAGTACCATTTTGTGTCAATAACAGCAGTTCCACCCAGCACAGCATTTTCCAACCTGATGTCCTCCAGATATTTTGGACTTCAGCTCCCCTCATCCCCAGCCATGGCCCTTGCCAGCACAAAGTATCTGGATGGCATCAGGTTGTGGAACACTGACCTAGCAAATACTTCTCTTCTCAAATACCACATTTCAAACTATAGTAAGGGGTACATTCAAATTATCATGATTATAATGCTAGCACTTCTGTTCCATTTTCTAATGTTTCTTCCGCAGTGCAGTATCTGTTGCAGTATGGAACTGTGGAATTATGGCTGCTATACCAGCATGTCATGCTACATTTCATTCACGCCACTGGGTGTGGTGTGAAACAACACTGAACATACTTACACTCCCCCAACCTGTTCACACATGTGTGCTTCTGTTCACACATGATTCCCTCATGAAAGCAGCAGGAAAGAACTGTATACTGGTATACCACCCCAAATGTCATCACTTTACTCCTGTGACTTTCTGGGCAATGAGGTTGTAATTAACACAGAAACAGAACCAATTAACAAGGAAATGAGTGCTGAACATCACCTATATTCCACTAGATTTCTGTAAATGGGTTTTATGTATTGTGAAAGATGAAATATAAGGCAGAAATTAACAGTTTGGGGAACATTAGGGAAATGGAATATACTGTCATGTGAATGCAGCCAAAATGGAGAAAGATGATATGGGGAGATCTTTCCACCCACATTTTGCTGCAAGAAAAATTCACAACAGCTATTTGTCCTTAGCTTCTGCAAATCCGTATTCGTTTTCTCAAGTTCATTCAACTATAAAGTGAGGAGGGGAAGGGAGAACAGAGTGAATCTCCTTGCTATGAAGGCTCTCTTCAGCTAAGAAGGCCTCCATCTTGTATTCTCTCTCTGTTATCAGCCTACCTGTCTCAAGCTGTTGACCTGCAAAATTATTCCAGTTATACACAGGAGAAGTTATTCTGGCAAGGTTAAAGAGGGAAAGGATCATAGCCTTGCAAATAGTTTAGTATCCAGTGCCACAGACCTTGGGTGAAACTCTGAACAAGTTAACAGGAGAGCAAGTCCCTCTGAAATCCTTTCCAAATATATTTCTTTATACAACAGTGCAGATGACCTCTATGTTTTTCAAGAGTGAATAGAGAGAGAAAATGAAAGCCGAAGCTGATGCTGACTGTGCCCTGTGTGAGACACTTCACTGATTTCCTTGAACTTTCTTGATAGGTCAAGGCAGTATGAGTCCCATCATCAGCCTGAGAGTGTTGTTGATGTGCACAGAGTTGTCAGGGGTGTGTATGGAGCTAGTCCTGAGCATTCCCATATGCCGGAAGAGTTCTGTCATTAGGTAAAGAGCAGGTCAGGACGCCTCACCACCAGAATGAAACAATTCTACCCAAAACACCCAGTGATGCTCCAATATAAATCATGCCTCACCAACCATAACCTTACTGCATGGTGAAATGGCTCCTATAAAAATTTCATCATGTGAGCACAGGGGACTGAAGGAAGCCATTTTAGTACCCATTACGCCAGGCTGGAAATATTATACAGAGCAGGAGACAGACGCTTTCCTAGAAGAGCAGGGCAGCATCTCTTTGATGTTAAAAACAACAAAGGCTCCAACGAACAGAGAAAGGTAATACAAAGGTGTCAGAACAGCAGACTGTATTTCAAAGCAAATATCAAGAGATTGGGGGTGGAAAGAAATATCCTCGGAAATAAATCACACATCCCCTGCCTCATAGTTACTCAGCATCCCTTGTAAAAATGAAAGCCCTTTGAGGACCCCTGCTTTGGCTCTGCTTGATTCACCCACCAACTGCTGGGCATCTGTGTAGCACTTCTCATTTCAGGGGCCAAACGAGATGTGACAGCAGCAGTGCAATATGTTTAATCACAGAAGAGTGTCCCGATCATATAGAAAGTTTGTGTGTGGATGTGCAATTTTTCAACCAAACATGGATGGGGGTTATTGACCCCTGTGCATGCCCCTACCTATCTCCCCACAAACTACAGCTCCCATAATTCTTTGGGGAAGCCATGACCGTTTAAAGTGGTTGGAGATGTGAAATATGCCACCAGGTGTAGTGTCTGGCAGGAATGGATGACTCCATCTATTTTTGGACCATCTCATTTTTACATGTGTCCATTCTGTTGAGTTTCCACATTAATCACTATGTTTTTATTTTAAAAATCTATACTTAAATATGTACTTAAATACACATTTCATCATAAAATATGTATTTAGATACATACTTTATCTCAGTGTATGCATTTCTAAATGTTTTTCTTTAATAAAATACATTTCTAAGTGCATCATGGTGCTTTTTAAAAATTGAGACAGGAACTGTATCATGAAATTCACAGAAGCATGAACTCCAAAGGATAATTACATTCTGATCAGTGTATTAATCCAGGAGGTGTGAAAAAGGTCAGTTGGATTAAAAATGCAGACCAAACAAAATTCTCCATCCCTGGTGTCTGGGCATGATTGCATACTGTTTAGCAGTCTCTGCTTGACAATTATAGTCAGGGAACCTGGAAGAGGTTAGCAGAGAAAGCTAAAGCACTCACCTCCTGCTAAAAAATATTGGCTGGGACACAGGACATGGACAGTATAGTGAGAAATATGCAGCAATCCTATGGACCCCACTCAATGGGAAAGACAAAGGAGAAACAGCTTAGAGGTCTCCAAGCGAGCACATGACAGCAGATTCATTTAAAATCACTGCCTTCCTTTATCCACACCCTTCCAACAGCTGCACAAAGTAGCTTCAAATATACAATTAATGTATTGCATCCTGTTTAAAACACCTAAGGTTGAAACCTGCTACAAGCTGGACTGCACAGGAATAAATCTACTGAAAAAGATTGCAGTTATTTGACAAACATAGCTATTTCGTAATCAATTTTCTGAGCTGGAAACTTGACGTATCCATTCTATTTCTTTTATACCCCCAAAGTTCTGGTGTTTATTTCCATGTGACCTTGTCATGCATTTATTGATGATATCCTGGGGGTTTCCATGGCAATGGAGCCCAGTGTCACAAGACGCTACTCTTGAGGTCACACAAAAGCAAAGTAGGAGCTGGAGACTGATAAGAGCACAATCCAGATCCATCTAGTTTATTAAAATGCTATCAATAGGTGATGGTGGGTCCCCCCACCCACTATTGTGCTTTGCAGTCTTATACATGCTTTCTTCCTTTCCCCACTACAGATTCAAAATGCCTACTTAGTGCTCCTCCATTTGTTTGTTAGGGTGGAAACGGGAGAGCCACATACACAGCCTCGTATTTTATAACCACAGGACAACCAGAACACAAAGCTAGACTTGCAATAGGCCCCCTGGTGCAATAATGTGTGTTAATTTACTATAGGCCACTCTATGTACAAAAGAAATCAGTATCAAAATTATTGCAAGAAGGTCAGTCTCTGAGCCGTTTTTCCTCTGATCTTTGGGCAGCAACTGGCAGGCAGGCGGCAGGGTCTTATTTGCAGACTGTAAGGCAGAGAGAAGACATCTTAAGGGATTATTAAAGTGCTAAGAAGCCATTCTCTGTTTAGATCACTAGTTCAAATCCAGCTTGCAGAAAGTTATTATCGCCTGATGGCTGTTCGGTGGCCTGGTGAACTGCATTGATCTCATCCAGTCCAGCCCTCAAGCTTTTGTGTCAGAAAAGTGTTCCCACAATATTTTCTGGCAGGATCATCAAGGGAAACGAAAGAGGGTTGCTTTCAAATGTGCTCCAGGTGTTTTTTCAAGGGGCAGTTGAGTCAAGACTATTTTTATTTTCCTGTGAAAATCCTTAAAATGTAACAGAAAGCAGCCTCCTTCTTCCTTCTCCTTCGTCCTGGAGATGGGGGTATCTCTGGGTTCAAGAGGTTTGCCCTTTATTAATTTTAGTGGAGCATTGTGCTGTCAGCTCAAGTCCCCCACTTTTCCTTGATTTCATCCTCCTCCCAATTTCTAGTGTGTTCTCCCTTGCAATGAGATTTGGGTAAGGGAAGTAGGCATGGTTTATTGTGGCACAGTGGGAAAGAGGAAGAAGAACTTGGATCTGGAGGACAAGGCTATCAACCAACTACAAGCTATGATGGCTGTGCCTTCCCTCCACAGGCAGAGTCATTTTGCCTCTGACTGCCAGTTACTAGAAATCGCAGGTGGGCAGAGTGGTGGTATGCTCACAGAGGCGTACGTAAGGGTTAGCAAAACTGGTCTCTGCTGGGGTGAAGGCCCAGAGGGGATGTGTGTGCAAAAATCACCTCTCAAGTATTGGAGTCCTCCCACAACACCTGCAGCACTGAGACACCCTGGCTCAGTGCTCCAGCACCTGCTTTGCCAATAGAAGCAATCTTCCAGGATCTCCAGCAGGAAAAGCTGCTGCAGGAGGGAATGGAAAGGGGTCCTTGGAGCAGCTTCCAGGCAGAGAGCAGTGTGAATGCCCTGTCTAGCCCCACTCCTGTTTTACCATGTGAGTATCATACACACAGCGCGGGTGGCGCTGTGGGTTAAACCACAGAGCCTAGGACTTGCCGATCAGAAGGTCGACGGTTCAAATCCCCGTGATGGGGTGAGCTCCCGTTGCTCAGTCCCTGCTCCTGCCAACCTAGCAGTTCGAAAGCACATCAAAGTGCAAGTAGATAAATAGGTACTGCTCCAGCAGGAAGGTAAACAGTGTTTCCGTGCGCTGCTCTGGTTCACCAGAAGCATCTTAGTCATGCTGGCCACATGACCCGGAAGCTGTATGCCAGCTGCCTCGGCCAATAAAGTGAGATGAGCGCCGCAACCCCAGAGTCGGTCATGACTGGACCTACTGGTCAGGGGTCTCTTTACCTTTACCTTTATCATACACACAAGTCATGTGCATATAGGGCTAATGATTGGCATTATCAAAGCAACAGGAAGTGAAATACTGTTTCTTTTTCTTCTTCTTCCTAGCTGAAATAACAAGCAGGCATTTATAGCTCGCTTGGGTACAGGAGCCACATACCAAGAAGCAGTTCTTCCTGAGATTTAGCATCCAGTTCTCTCTGCGCCTGAGACGTGCGCTGGGGAATTCAGTGCCGACTCTTGCTGAAGATAACCTAACAACTGCTTTAGATGTATTCTTTAAGCAAACTTTAACGGGTGGATTAACACAACATGGTCCAGGAAGGTAGAACAATAGGGCAAGTCCAGGCTTGTCATAGAAAGATAATACACACAAGGGATTATTTGCTGGTGTGCAGGGAATGGTAGCAACTAATAACAGCGTGTAGTTTGGTCCATTCAAAATGGAGGCCGTCTGTTCCGTGCAGACAAGCAGTAACAGAAGCTTATATTTTGATTCATAGAATCATAGAATCTTAGAGTTGGAAGCGATCCAAAGGGTCATCTAGCCCAAACTCCTGCAATGCAGGAATCCATGACAGATTGCCCTTTTACCTTTGCCTAGACACCTTCCATGAGAGAGAGTCCACCACCTCCCAAGGGAGTCCCTTTCACTGCTGAACAGCTCTTACTGTAAGATTACCAGATTTTTTTTCAAAGAATCCGGCGACACTTTTTTTTGAAAACAGAAAACAAAAGTTATTAAAAAAGATTATTTTTTAAATAAATTAGGAAGTAATGTCTTCTCTTCTGTGGTCTCCTCTGTCACCCGAGCCTGCTGTCTTTGAGCGCTAGCCGCCATGGAGTAGGCTTTGGTCAAGCCTGGGCTCGGCCACGTGTCCTTGCCCTCCTGGTGCTCTCCTACCTCTCCTCCTCAACAGTGGCGGCGGCAGCGCAGCAAGGTTGGGGCTCCCCTCTTTTTTCTCCTTCCTCTTCCTCTCTCTTCCTTCTCCTTCTCCTCTCCTCCTTCTCCCTGTGTCGGCTCCAGGGTTGCTCTGGCACGGAGTGCTGCTGAGCAGTCTGCCAGGTGGCCAGGTGCTCTTGCTCCCGGCTCGATTTGGGTCGGGAAGGTCAGCAGTTCCCCCAGTTGACATGCCGGGTGTCCCCAGTTCCCCTTCAGCAGTGGCAGTGGCAGTCTCAGCAGCTCAGAGCCATCCTGGTAGTGCAGTTGGCTCTGGCTGACTTCAAGAGCTGCTCGCTGCCATGGTGCCCACCTTTCTGCCTCGCCAGAAGTCCCCATATGATGTGTCTTGTGCTGTTGAACCAATCACGCAACATTCATTCCCTGCTAATAAATCTACAACACTTAAAATATAAATCCAGGGACATTAAATTGTGGGAGTCATAAAGCCACGGTAAAGGCTTGTAATATTGCAGGGTGCCCCCTGACCTCGGCTGACCAGCACTCTGAGCTTTACAATGTATTGGAATGTAATGTAGTTGTGTTTCCTCTGGGCAGTGATGACCTTATACGGTGAAGGGGGCAATAAAAGCCTTGACCGGATGAGGTAACGTGAGACACTGGCAAACAGCCATGCGGCTGGAGAGGGACAAAGGAATAAAGAAGTTGCAGGAGGAGGAGAGGGAAGTTCGAGAGGAGCTGCTCCTACCATCATGAAAATATTGCTGGCTCTCTGTGTCATAATTTTATGCTAAACTTCGCCATTTGTACGGCTGGCTCCGACAAGTGGTGCCCCGTGTGAGGCTGAATAAAAGAATACGTCTGAGGACTAAGAGGATTTTAAAAGAAAACCGTGTGAGGCAACTTAAAGAAAACAGTCTGAGGCAGACTGAGGCTTTTAAAAGGAAACCGTGTGAGGTTTATCGATCCTAGCAAAGGATATCATCGGCTCACTACGCCCGGCCAGGGTTTCAAGCGCTAATCATCTTAAAAAGATCCCGGTGAGTTCCGATCCCTTATTTATATTGATTTTAGAAAAATGGGCAGCTCTTTGTCTGCTCCCCAACAGAAATTTTTAAAAGACTTAAAATTTCTCCTCTCCTCCAACGAATTGGAAGTTCCGGAGGGTGATTTAATACAGCTCATTCTGGCTATCAAAGAGCATTCCCCCTGGTTTCCTGCAGATGGGACTTGGGAATTGAAACATTGGGACAAGATCGGGGAACATTTTCATGGGCACCCCAGCATAAGTGTTCGGATTCTAAATGCATGGTGCAAGGTTCGTTACGCCATGGACTCTTTATCACCAAAAAATATCTCCATGGCTGCATTGCCAACACAACCTTCAGCTTCTTTAATTCAGCCTGCTGTGTTAGAGACTGTTCCAATACTCGCCTTGCCAGCAGCAGCTCCAGACCCCAAACCTCCGGACTACAGTTCCTCACCTGAGGACTCAATCCTGCAAAAATACCGTGGTCTGGCTGGCAATGATCCTGCTCTTTCAGTGGCAGAACCAGCTACTCCTTTTCAACGTGCAGTCCTTGGCGGCGTGCTTCCTTAATTCAGGATACTATGGCATTCCCTGTTATTGTGCCCCCTGCTGGCGCCCCGGCAGGCACCCAAGCCCAACACCAACCTTTTGACTTTAAGATTCTGAAAGAGCTGCAACAGTCAGTAAAGGCCAATGGACTCCAAGCCCCATATACGCAGGCGCTTTTAGAAGCCACATTAGCCCAGCTCTTGGTTCCAGAGGACATAAAGCTTTTGGCCCATACAGTGTTACCCCCATCAGCTGGTGTTTTGTTTGCCCACGAATGGGAAACTGCCTGCCGTGCTTATGCTCCAGCCTTGTTACAACAAGTCAGAGGAAATAATCCAAATGTTACCCTCGCAGACGTCTTAGATGCCATGTTGGGGCGTGGTCCCTTCGCTCAAGCTTCAGTGCAAGCCACACTGCTGCAAATCTTATTGAGGGACACTGCTCTTGCTGCTAAACAAGCAATGAGAAAAATCCCAGAACCCACCAGTATTCAATCAAGGTGGGGTTCAATCAGGCAAGAGGCAAGAGAATCATATTCTTCCTTTATGGATAGGCTGCTTACAGCAGTGAGTCGCCAAATTGAAAATCCTGAAGCCAAACAAATAATTATCAAACAATTGGCCTTTGAAAATGCCAATGAGGATTGTAAGGTTGCATTACGACCGATAATACACAATCCTGCCACAGACACAGCAGCCATGCTTCGCATTTGTCAGTCTGTTGGAACAGCCAGCCACAAGGCTTATCTGCTGGCAACAGCGCTAAATGAAAACCAGCCTGTAGCCACCGATACAACTTGTTTCCAGTGTGGCAAACCAGGATCACTGATACCCCACTGGGGTAGAACAGTGGCCTCTACCAAAAGAAAAATCCGCAGCAGCGGCACCAGCTATCTCTGACCAGCTTATTTCTGAACAATTGACTTTCGGCCACATTGAACCATCTTCATCCCACTGGCTCCAGCAGACAGGGAACAGTTTGCTTTTACATTGCCAGTATATAACAATTCGCAGCCCACCCAGCGATATCAGTGGGTTGTCCTGCCTCAAGGCATGCGGAACTCCCCTACACTTTGTCAACATTTTGTGGGTGAAGCATTGAAACCTTTCCGCATGCGCCACCTAGAGGTGCTGCACACGAGCTGCATCTGGCAGTGTTTGCCTTCCTAACCATTTGCCTTGCCATCCTTTGCTGCACCGTTATACAAGGAAGAGAAGCAGACGACCAGTCCAGTTGAAACCACCATATTTCACCTCATCGGCTGGCAAGCAGCTGTCGCCAGAATCCTACTCTGGCTGGCAGTATCCACGGCTCAGCCACTTTTGAACTAGAAGAACAGCGTTGTTGAATAAGACTTTTAGGGGAGAAAATTATCATAAGATATGGAGGGATAATATTTTTGTACAAGATATGATTATGTTTGCCAGTTTATTGCATGCTTCTAAATGTTGGGTGTGTATGCCAGTCATTCAGGCATAATGCTTCATGGTGTGCCTGTCAATGGATCTTTTCAATTTACTAATATTATATCCCCTAAGCCTCCAGTACAATTGACCCTCCATGAGCCTCCCCCCATTTATTTTCAAATTAAGGAGGGGAAAGAATCATGGGGCATATATCCAAACTGTCAATATACATTGAATTTCACTTTTAATAGCTCTTGTTCTCTTACAGGAATATACAGTGACAAATCTCAGTGCTATAGGAGTGACACCAGTGCATGGCTAATAAACTAAAAGGAAGCCTACCATGCAGCTTGGAATCAGAATTCTTATATTCTTGGCTTCCGGATTTTAGTGATCATTATAGTAGTTATTGATTTTAGTGATCATTATAGTAGTTATTTGCATTATTTTGTGTTGCTGTATACAATGTATTCCTTCTTTAATTTCTATATGTACTGCATGGTTCTCCAGTCCGCAGCCCGCTTCCGGTGTCACAAGAGTTGCTTATCGCGCTCAATATCGCGTATTGACTCTGATATAAAGTAAAGAAAGAGGGAATGTGGGAGTCATAAAGCCACGGTAAAGGCTTGTAATATTGCAGGGTGCCCCCTGACCTCGGCTGACCAGCACTCTGAGCTTTACAATGTATTGGAATGTAATGCAGTTGTGTTTCCTCTGGGCAGTGATGACCTTATATGGTGAAGGGGGCAATAAAAGCCTTGACCGGATGAGGTAACGTGAGACACTGGCAAACAGCCATGCGGCTGGAGAGGGACAAAGGAATAAAGAAGTTGCAGGAGGAGGAGAGGGAAGTTCGAGAGGAGCTGCTCCTACCATCATGAAAATATTGCTGGCTCTCTGTGTCATAATTTTATGCTAAACTTCGCCATTTGTACGGCTGGCTCCGACATTAAATGAAATCCGGGGACATTCCGGGGACAGATTTTGTCCAGGGACAGATTCGTAAATCCGGGGACTGTCCCCGGGAAACGGGGACATCTGGTAACCACATCATACTGTCAGAAAGTTTTTTCTGATCTCCTTTCTTGTATCTTGAAACTATTGGTTCAAGTCCTACCCTCCAGAGCAGGAGAAATCAAGCTTGTTCCCTCTTCCATGGGACAGCCCTTCAGATATTTAAAGATGCATATCATATCTCCTCTTGGTCTCCTTTTTTCCAAGCTAAACGTACCCATGTCCCTCAGCCATTTCTCCTAAGGCTTAGTTTCCAGACCCTTGATAATCTTGGTCGTGCTCCTCTGAACACGTCCCAGCTTGTCAATATCCTTCTTAAATTGGAATGAAACTGATGGACTATATGGAATTGGCGGAAATGACTGGCAGAATCCGTGACCAGGGAGAAGAGGCGATGGAAGAAGATTGGAAGAAATTCAAAGACTACCTACAGAAACATTGCAAAATTAAGGAATGTTAGAGTGATGTTGGATTGAAAATAAGTGGTTTCCAGCTGTACAGGATAAAATTATAAAACAGACTAAGATTAAAGATCAGGATTAAAGAAGTTTAAGGAAATGGAAATTTGGTACTTAAGAGGTAAAATTTTAATGCTATATTACATCAAGATTAAAGATTAGGAGTAAATAAGTTAAAGGAAAGGGAAATTTGGTACCTAAGAGGTAAATTTTTAATGCTATATTACACTAAGAATAAAGACTGGGATTAAAAAAGTGGAAAAGAAATTGCTGGAGGAACAATTTGGACTGGAATACAAAAGAGGGAGGTATGAGGAAGTCCAGAAAATAAGTAAATTTAAAAAAGGGAAATGAAAAGGTGATATTGTTTTTAATTGTTCTGTTTCTTTTTTGTTGTTGTTGTTTTTTGTTTCTCGTTTTTGTTTTCTTTTTTTGGAATTTGTATTGCGTATTTGTGTATTTCTTTTTTATGTTTTTTCTGTTCAACTTTTTATTGAAACTTTAATAAAAATTATTTTTTTTAAAAAAATTGGGGTGCCCAGAACTGGGCACAGTATTCCAGGTGGGGCCTGAACAACTGACTCAGACAACTCAATTCAGCATATTCTTCACAGTGCAATCCTGTGATGGTTGCTCAGATGTAAGTCTCCCTATGTTGAGTGGGGCATACTCACTTAGGAGATGGGGCCATACAGCAGGACACTTTTTTTTAAAAAAAAGTGCATGCAGAAGGCCCCATCTTCAATCCTTGGCATCTTTAGGTAGGGTTTTGAGAGGTTTCTGTCTGAAACCCTGGAGAACTGCTGTGAGTCAATGCAGAGCAGGGGTGATTATTATGATGCCCTCTGAATGCTCTTGGACTATGACCCCCATTGTTGTTGCTCAATAACCGTACATCAGGCACACCCATGTACATTGAATCCTAATATTTTCATGGTGCCTTCCCCCTGCCTGCCCGACCCAACACATTCGGATTCTGCACTTTTTGTTTTCAAGCTGCAATTTTGCTGAAAGCTTCTGTCATGTGAAATCCACATTCCTCATCATCTCTCTGAATATGTTGGCTATTATGAAGACAAGAGTACTTTAGTTCTTAAGTGTTCGTTGCTTTGCTTAAGTGCCTGTGATTTGCACATGATGTGGTAGGTAGGTATGCTTGTTGTCACTCAACAGCCTTAATTGGGTTCGGACAGTCAGTTGTTTTGTGTTTGGAAAGGCATCTGCATCACCTCACAAATTGGCAAGCACAACGTATATCTTTTTCACTCATTTCACATGCCGGAGTTGATTAAAGCCTTGGAGTGTTGAGTGCCTTGCATATTAAAGGTTATAACTCGCCATGTGATAACATATTGCCCACTTTGATAGCCCATGATTACTAAGCTGGTTCTTTTAGCTGCCTTTCTTTAGGCTTCCATTGCACCCACGAGGGAAGGCTGGTTCTTAGTTAAGGTGTTGCCCATGAATTGCAGTGTATCATATTTTACTAAGCATTGTGTGGAGAAGGGAGAGAAGTGCAGGCATTTCTGAAGTCCTTCTAGACCACCAAGCATCTTTGGATGGGGCATTGGAACATTTCCTTCCATTGCCCCCTTCCCCCTTTCCTTTCTTCCTCTCCTCTCCTTTTCTGCATGACTGACACAAGACTGTATAGACTGGACCAAATAATATATGCAGAGTGGATGCATTTTGCACCAGGGTTTCTTAACACTTTTTTGAATTTGGGCTCCCTCTCCCAATCTTCTGCCTCCTAGAATTTTTCCACCAAGTGCTCACCATCTGGAGAGATGATAGATGATAGATAGATAGATGATAGATAGATAGATAGATAGATATAGATAGATAGATAGATAGATAGATAGATAGATAGATGATAGATAGATAGATAGATAGATGATAGATAGATAGATAGATGATAGATAGATATAGATAGATAGATAGATAGATAGATGATAGATAGATAGATGATAGATAGATAGATATAGACAGACAGACAGACAGATGATAGATGATAGATGATCCATAGATATATCCATCCATCCTTTGCCAGCACACAAGAGTTTCTGATCTAGGCAAATGCTATGGCAATGTTAGAAGGGTTCCTCTCCCTCTTTTCTATCACTTCCATTGTCTTGTCTGGAAGCAAGGCCTTCTTAGCTGACAGACTCTTTCTTCCAGGTCTGGCTTATGCAATTTCGTGTGTGTGTGTGTGTGTGTGTGTGTGTGTGTGTGTGTGAGAGAGAGAGAGAGAGAGAGAGAGAAGGCACTGCTAGGGTGAGTTTTCCTTTTCCCACCTATGATGTTCTGATGTGCATGCAAATAATATTGAGTAATTATGGTAAACTTGTATGTGATAATATGTATTGTGCTAAACATATAAGGTAAATTAGGGTAAGTATTGGGCTGGGAGGGGGAGTGTGCTTGGAGTGTTGGGCGTGAATGGTTATTGGACAGGAGTTTTGATAGGGAGTTTGAATACTGTTGGGAGGTATTCAAAAACTGGAGTGGGATGTGGAAGAGAGTGTTTGGGTGGTTGGGGCAGGGTTAGCGAAACAGAGTAGGGTCAGAGCTGTTGCTGATTGTGGTTTTGAGATGATGGTAAGGAAGGTTTTAGCTTAGGTAGACTGAGAAAGGTAGAAAGAGTTCATAATACCTAGCAGAAAACTAGGTTGTACACCTTGGAGACAGAGAAGGTGGTTTAGAGAAGATTAGGTAGAGCTGAGGGTAGTGCTAGAGAACCATATAGCTGTGGGGAAAATGGTGTGATGCTAGCCATTGATTGATTTTGAAGTTGCAGCCACCAGAGGCCTAGAAGGGCCTGCTGCTCCTCTGGAAGAGTTCCAAGTCCCTTCCATGGACGTTCTTTCCCTCTCTCTAAAGTAAATCTATCTAGCCTCCTTATTTATGAAGGCGCCAAGGAAAGCATGCAGGTACATCTCTCCCTGTCTTGGCAAACGGGTGAAAAGCACACACAAAGTAGTGCCCAAGGTCCATCTAGTCCAGCATCCTGCTGTCATACCATCCAAACAGCTGCCTCCAGAAAACTCCCAGGAAGGCAGCAGCCATCTCCCATTGTTGCTCTCCAGCAAGTGGTAGTGTGATACATTTTTCTTCTGGAACATACAGGCTGCACAGAACCATCATAAGTGGTTGTCACTAACAGCCTCGTCCTCTACAGATTTGTCTAGTTCTCTTTTAAAGTCATCTGAGCTGCTGGTCTGCAAGACTGCTCAGAATTCTAGAGGCACTGGGAAAACTGACAAGCACCCGGGACACTCTGAAATCTTTTTTAAAAAAAATTTTATTGTATTAATATTTAATAACATAGTTCAGCATTGCTGAGCTTGCCAAGTGAGCTAAATTTAGGTTCTAGCTCTTCAGCCTTGACCTCCCTATAGCACCCAGGTCGTTTCAGGTCCCCTCATCCCCAACATTTCTTGATATGGGCTTGCTTCGATAGCCGGTCCCTCTCAGAGTTTCCAACATTCTCAACACACACACAACACACAACACACATAGTATGGAAACCTAAGTTCAGGGCCAGATATAGGTTTGATAAGCCCCTAAACTACTGAAGGTAATGGGGCCTTTTATATGTCCAGCTGTCCTTTGTCAACAACAAATTGCCGCTGTTTTTTGTGTGTGTTGAATATATGCTCTATGGTAATTTATGGACCTATTAGGTATCTAAAGCCATTTGCACATGTTGCCATGCAACCAGTCCATGCAGAATATAGGCACCCTATATATAGAAATGAGCAAACCAGTGATATTTTTGGGAGCAGGCTAGCAGGCAGGGCCCGTTACTTACATAATAGGAGCCTACACAACAGAAAACACTGTATGTAGG